GAATATTATGCCTATTAATTTAAATTAATTAGGATAAAATTAAAAATATAATAATATCTATAAGGGTCAAGGGTATTTTTATCCACGGAATTTTTTTGCCAAACTCCATATTAATTATGATAGGATAGAATAATTGAAGCTTCTACCTATTAATGTAAATTAATTCGGATAAGATTACATTATAATAATGTAACATCTAAATGGTTCAAGGATGTTTTTAGGATAGAATAATTAAAGCTTATGCCTATTAATTTAAATTAATTAGGAGAAGATTATATTATAGTAATGTAATATTTATAAAGGTCAATGATATTTTTGTTCATGAAAAGTTTTTCCCAAACTCCCATTTTTGAAGGGAGTATATATATATGATATATGATATGATATTATGAGGGTCTGGTTTTCTTAGCTATAACCTGCATATTTAAATTCCCATGTAACCCTATAGGCAATATTCGTAATTAGCAAGACACAATAATAAACTTTAGGTATGGAACACATGTCATAATTAATATTGAGTAGGGGCTCCAAATATGGATAGATAACGCAAAATCTTTTCAAATCTTATATTTTTCCGTGCTTAAGAGTGGTGTTAGGGGCACACCCCCTACCACACCACCAACCACACCCCCTCTCCCATTGCTACAGTAAACCGGGCCCCACATGAGATTTTAAAAATTTTAAAATCCCATGTGGGGCTCGGTTTACTGTAGCGATGAGAGAGGGGGGTGTGGTTGGTGGTGTGCCCCTAACATTATTTATGTTATAAAGCATCTCAAACTGTGGCTAAACTGAGTACGTCTCTCTTTTCTCTAGCTTTCACACACAAAAAACTCTCAATTCTTCTCATGTTAATTAATTTTTTGCTATTGTTATTATTTTTTTCCTTTTCTTTTTTAGGTTTTTAGTGGATTTGGTATATGAGTTTTGATTTATGTGGACCGATTCTAGATTTTTTTGGCGTTCATGAGTGTGCCTTGATATTTTATTGTACTGTATTCTTTGATTAGTCTTTTTTTGAACAAGAGGGCCGGCCAAGAGAAATTTTGTAACAGGCAAGGAGGACAATGTGGTTGAAACTCTCTACGAGTAATTAGCTTAACTCATTGTCTCAAATTAGTGTTGGTCAATTTATGTTTAATTTCTTTTTTAATTTAAAATTTTGCAAGTTCATTAGGCCAGAGATTGTTCTATTCTAATATGTCGGATTAAACAGACCAAGGGATTTAGAGATGAACCTCCATGGCCTACTTTATAGTTCACAGTAGTGGGGGCGTGACTGAACTTTTATGACAGAGCTTGGTTTTCTATGTGTATATCTTTATTTTGTTTTATTTTAGTAGTTTGTTAAAAAAAATTGTCCTTTTGACATTGTGAATGTTCTTAGATTAGTCAGGGAATAATTTTAGTATCTCGAAATATTTCTTGATAAAATTAGTTAGATACCTCTAATCTGTGTTGTTATTTGTATCTTAAACTTTAGAGGATGAAAGTCGATGTGGACTTTCTAAGATCATTATCACCAAATTTCCTATCTTCTTTACCATTATCATATCCCTCCATTGTGATTGCTCTCTCTTGCTATCATGCTATAAATTTCTTCCTTAACACTTTTTTAACATCTACCATAAAATAATTTATTTATTTTTATTGATAAACTATTTAAAGAAAAATAAAAAATAAAAACAAGAAGGGCATTTTCACACACGCAAAAAAATTGTCTACTTAATTTTTACATAGCTTTGAGCACTCGCAATTTCTAGATGTGGTTCACAATTATACTCTAGGATTCATTATGAATCAATATCGTTTTATTTTCTTATTCAATTAGACTCTAGGATTTATGTAGACATAATAACTCTCCATTCTTATTTTTCTTTCTCCTTATTATGTTGTTTTAATGTCAAAAGAAAAATTTACTGGTAAGAGGTATATCACAACAAAAAGAATCGTCTGAGATTTCTTTAATAAAATCGTAGTATTAATAATTAAGATCATCTTTTATTAAAGATGTAACAAAGGGAAATTTTCATGGCATCGCACAAGTATAGCGCTAGTTCTTACTAAATCAAAGAAGCAATTCTTTGATGATTATTTGAATACTAAGATTATATTCATATCGTGGTTTGTTAAATTTTATTTTCTGTCAGCAAAAGCTATCGATTAGGATTGAATTATGAAAGGTCCCAATAAATTTCACAAAACTCTAAGGAGTTTGGCCCATTTAAGATAACCTCCAAAATTTTAAAAATACTTGAAAACATTTTGAAGAAGTGACATTTTCAAACTTTTTGGAAGTTCCCTCAGGGGGGGTTAGTCATCTAGAACTTAAAACTGGAACTGAGATAATTTGTGGGATAAATTTTTAAGGTGTTAGTCACATAAAACTAGGAAATAGGATATTTTTTTATAGTGTTAGTCAAGTAGAACTTTTGTAGAACTAGAACTGTATTATTTTTTTGGTGCGTTAGTCAAGTAGAATTCTACTAGAATTAGAATTGGGATAATTGGTCATAATTATCCCACAAATTATACTACCTATATATATAACCATAAGTTCTCCTCTCTCAAATTATCCCACACATTAAAAAGAATACAATTGGGAAAAAAAAGTGAAACGCCGCCTCCCTCCCTCTTGGTTAGTTTCTCCGCCTAGAAAATTTCTCTGCCATGAAGTCAATCATCCGTTCATTTTTCTGTCTTTACTTTGTTTTTGTGATGATTAGATCTTTTATTATTATCTTCAAGATGTATTACTTTATTGATAGCTTTTTGACGTTAAATTACTTTATTATTATTTGTTTGATCTAAGTTTTCTCTCCACAACAGTGGTTTAGGTTAAGAATATAGTGTTGGTGGGTTAGTGCTAAAGATATGCGGGCTATTTATGTTTTTTTTATAAGTTAGAAAGCAACTTTGCGATCACATTGATGATTAGATGTTGAATGGTTAATGGTGATATCTATTATCTATTATTATTAAATCGACTCAGTAAATTGATTGGGATATTTATAGTTCATCTGTCGATCATCTGTTTAGCGGCCATGGATGATTCCTGTGTACATTTCATTTATTTGCTGATTTGGTTTCAGCGATCATGATGAGATTGGTCCAAAGGGTTAATGGCTGAAAAATGCTTATTTTTCTTTCTTTATGATGTTATGAGATTTGAACTTCGACATTTATGATCCTCCGCTAGAAGCTCCACGAAATGTTCCTGATGCAGACGATGACTCCGATAAAGAAGACGAGTTACAGACTCAACGAGCAGCTGTAGGAGCTTGGAGAAATTCTATGGCAGATGCCATGTGGGATGATAGAAGCCATGTGGGATGATGGAAGTCGAGTCACTCTAGGGATTTAGATTTTTATTTATTTGTAAATTATTTTATTATTTGAGATGAATAGTGATGCTTTATTGCATTATATTTTATAGTTATTACTAGAATTTGCTTATCAATATTATATTATTTTTAATATACAATTATTGACAATAGTAATTTATACCCACCATTACCCCCACCAAATTATCCTACCAAATTATGCAACTTCATAATATTATCCATCATTATCCCACCAAATTATCCTACCAAATTATCCCACTTTAAGAATTATCCATCATTGTTTCACTAAATTATCCCAGTGTCAAAATATTATCCTACTTTACCAATTATCCCAGTTCTACTTAAAAAGTTCTAGGTGACTAACCCCCCCTCAAAGTGAACCGTTCTTAGTATTTTTGGGAAACTCACCCTAATATCACTTATATTCTTCGTGAAAGAGTGGAATAAATCTCTACAAAGTTATTTAGTACTATAGCCTCAAAGTGATCATATATACTATGCTTCTTATCTCATTTCTTCAATTTGGTTTTAGCAGTAACATCATTATTATCCCATCAAAATACTTTAATTTAAAATTTATGCTATTCGCTAACCATATCAAGTCAAATTGAAAACTTCCATTCTTTCATAAATAAATCATTTACCTCTCTAATTTTTGTTAAAAAAAATTAGGCCTACTAAGCCCATGTAACACCTGCCACTAAATTGGGCTCAACGGGACCACAAAAATGGAACTCTTTCTACTATTTAGGAAAGTGCGTCCAAATTGTGACTCGGAAAAAAAAAGAAAAAGAAAAAGAAAAGAAAAATTAACAAAAAGTACCTTTTAACTCGGGATCACACCACTTCCGGCGAGCGCGAGCCTCCTCTTCGTCCCTTTGTCATCGCCGATCTTGACCGTGTGAGCTCCGTTTTTCTCTTTCTAGGGTTTTGAGCTGAATCCATATCTTTAGCCACCGAGCATTTGTATTTATTGAAGAGTAACTCGAATCAAAATTTGCATTTGTCTTCGAAGCTTGTGCCGCAGTCTGAGGTTCAAATGATTCCATCGCCAGAATAATTGCGTTTAAAGGCTTCGTTTAATTTATGCTATTAAATCATTATGGAGATTTTAATTTGTACAATTTTTTGGATTTCCTACATTTACAAGATCCTTACTTGTTCTAGGTAATTGGTCTGAAGCAGCATATTGGGATTCAAATGAGAAAGAAAGTTGTAAAGTACATGATTTTATTGTAAAAGAAAACCTTTGGCAATCTTTGAGATATTGTAGATGGTGATCTCAAAGAGAGGCAAGTATCGGGGCTGACATGAACTCACCTCAGTTCAACATAGGCAAAGGAAGTGGATACAAGTTTTGGTGAATTACATTGTCATTTCCATGTCATGATTTATTCCTAATTTCTGAACCCATATTGTGGAAATTAGATTTATAGGTGAAATAACTATTTTCCGATTATTCTGTAACTTGACACCAACTAGGCCAATGGCACAAGTCTCTTGCAATTCAAGAAGCAAAATATATAATCTTTCTTTCCTGAGTTATTTGATCTTGAGTTATTTCACTCTCATCAACTGATTACCCTGTAGTACTAGTCTCTTTCACTAATTCCTTAATTAGTGATTTGTGTATATAAATTTGGAAATAGGTCAATAATAGTACTAGTCTCTTTCACTAATTCCTTAATTAGTGATTTGTGTATATAAATTTGGAAATAGGTCAATAAACTTAGATAATAGAGGTCATATAAGTGATTTGTGTATATAAATTTGGAAATAGGTCAATAAACTTAGATAATAGAGGTCATATATCACATGGGAAATTCTTCAATAACGCGAACAGAGTCTATTGTCAGTGGATGAATGAGCTATCCACTGGGATGCCCCTTAAATAACATATACTTCTCAGTTGGTTTCTGATTCGTGCAGTGATTATCTCCTGGTACTACAATTGCTACCGTTAGCGCGAGGCAAATTGCACACAATGGTTATGAAAACTTTTATAGCGAACTTGTTGCCTTTTTATTGCAGACAAAATAGTGTCAATTTCTTTGTTGTTGCATCTTCGAGTTCTGAAACCAAATCCTTAACTTTGTAACTGCTTCAAAAACTTGCATCAGCTTTGTATTAGTATGTTAGGAGACTTAACGGAATGTGTTGTTCTTCAAGTATTTAATATCATTTATATTTATGTTGCACGCTATGTTTAATGTTGATTTTTGGTTTGCAGTATATTATGTTGTTAGCAATGTATTCTAAATCTAATAATAATCCATTTGAGATACAAAATCACAGGACATGAAACTAAGACAAATTTGGGAAATGCATGATGGTTTGAAATTCAAACCAATAATTGACCATCCACTGACTTAAATACCAAAGCAAAGGATAAGTCGTTTTTGGCTAACTGTATACAAATTTTAGAAATGTTTTCTTCTTGTATAAAAAATGACTGTGAGACCATAGTTCAAATTTATTTTGAATTCTGAATTGGAATCTCAGTGAGAGTTTGAAATTCACGATGGCTTCTGTTTGATTATAAAACTTACCGAGTTGGTAATATGATTTGTCCTGCCTAATTCTCCCTCTTACATCGGCACCACATCCAAAATTGTCACGAAAGAAGGAAAACTTGAAAAACAAAAAAAGAAAAATGATTAATCTGCACTCTTGCTACATTTTGGTGTAGTATTTATAAATATCTTTTAAAGCTTCTTACCATTAGTTCATTTAATACTAGAATATGTTATGTGATACTTGAACGCAAAGATGCGACTCATATGATGTTTCTTCATGAGTCTTTAACTTTATAACTGTAACAGAAGAGCTATGTGAAAATGCTTGCTCTATCTTTTGTATATGTCCTTTGTGCATTCCACTGCTTATAACTCCATATTTTAATTTATTTTCAGAAAATTAATGGCGAGTACTGCATGCTTTGTCATTGTCAGTAGGAATGATATTCCTATTTATGAAGCTGAACTGGGGTTATACTTTCTGTTCCTTGACTGATCATCTGCATGGAATTTCTTTTATATTTACTTTGATTATGTGGAAAAAATCTGTGTACAGTCAGTGTCTGAGATTTTTTTTCATTTACTCCTATTATTTTAATTAGTCATTTTGTTATGAAAAATTCAAATGTATATTTTTGCTTATTTTCCATACGGTGGTGCTTAACTGCGCTTTGAATGAGCTAACAGATTTTGCAACTTCATCTCTTTGATTTTCATAAGCCATTTATGGCCTTGCTGTTGCAACTAGGAACCTGTTTTGTGCTTGTCAATATTGTACTGTTGTTATCTGTTGTTGTGAGGAGTTGAAGAGCCTGCTCACACTAATGATCATTTTCCTCATTACCTTGTTCATCAAAGCCGATTCCCCAAGACTATCATTTCTGTTGGGTCCGCATTTTGTTTTTCCCTTATGTATTTATTATTTTGACTTCTTGCACAATTCTTCTCTGCTTGAAGTGTTTCACTTTTTTTCCTTGGATTTTGTTGACATAAAAATGTTTAATTGCCTTGTAATATTCACAGGACATAACTAGAAATGTGCTCATTCTTCTATAAGTATTAAATGTCTCTAGAATAAATAAAGCTTGATATACTTCTAATGTCCAAAGAGTTTCTGAATATTGGTGGACCTCAAATAGTTTTGGACACAATTGTGAACTACATTACAAATATTTTTTGCACTCATATGACAGAAAGAAGAAGTTGCTCATGAACATCAATTTATATCACATGCTGCCTTGGATATTGTCCTGGACCGGGCCTGGACAAATAGTGCTATGTGAGTTTCTGGTTTATTTGGTTGATTCATGTAACGAAACAGAGACAATTAAGTCAAGACATTGTTGCGAAACTTTTGTTGTTGTTTTTGTATCTTTTGGTACCATGATTTTGTTGTATTCTCTGAGTGAAGACATGTTCGTGCAGGTTCTTGAAGGCAATTGACAGGTTCAATGATCTGGTGGTGTCTGTTTATGTCACTGCTGGTCATATCCTAATAAATCTATATTTTCCCACTTGATAGTTCCTGTAGGTTATTTCCTGAAGTTTATGAAGAGTCTAGGTTATGTATATGTTTATTCTTATATCCTTGCAGAATGTATGAGAGTGACAGTCGAATTCAAGTTTGTTCTGAAGTGATGTTGCTAATTATGATACATGCTGTGTAAAAGATCCTCCAACTGAACGAATGCATGCCCTCACACAAATACAAGAAAGTATTGATGTTTACACAGACCCTAAACAAATAGAGAGTTCTGTCGAAATTGTCTCTTTATACTATACTTCGTAGATGACTCATATTCTTTTGATAGTCTCCACATTAAGAGTATTTTGTAGTTCTAAAAGGTGTAATTGTACTATCCAAAATGCAATATATAGTTTCAGCAATCTTTTGTTTTCTTTGACCTACCATGCCATACACACTAGATTGATGCTGCTTCATGATCTGCGTAATGATCTTTTGTTTTCTTTGACCTACCATGCCATACACACTAGATTGATGCTGCTTCATGATCTGCGTAATGAGGATGGAATAAAAAGCTTCTTCCAAGAGGTTCATGAACTTTATATATGTTTTCGCCAAAAGTCGAATTTGTTGTCGAATTCATTATATCTTCAGTCGATTACAATAAATTCAAAGAAAACAGCCTTTTTATAAGACTCTTTTACACAACAAAAAGAAAATTACAACTCCTGAGAAAATAAACGCAGGATCGTTGTTTGGATCACTGCTTTCGTGGGATCTTTGCCTGTGCCGGGAGCGCTTTGACTCGTGGACCACCAAATCACAGATTCTGATTGAACCGTGAGGGGTTTATGATTCTGACTTCGTTTATCGAAGTGAGAAATTGAAACGATATCTTATCGAAGTAAGATAGTCGTTCTTCTTAAAATCAAGTCGAAGCTTAATTTCAAGGCGTTGCAAGAAAAGAACTCAAATCTGCTCTCTCTCTCTGCTCTGGATTGCTCTGAAGTACTCACAATGATCAGCCTTGGATCTCTGCTGGAAGCCCCCTGTGAAAATGGCCTTCGGGGGATATTTATAACCCTCTGGATGAACAGTGCTCGCGAGACAGCATTTGCTGTCTCGGCGGGCGAGACAGTGTTTGCTGTCTCGCGCGAGACAGTAAATTTGCTGTCTCGCCCAGCGAGACAGTAAAATACTGTCTACACCACATGCAGTTTTCGTTTTAACTGCCTTCCCACGTTTCAAACTCCGTTATTTTGGCAGTTATCCACGTGATTCTCGCCCACGACGTTTCCCACGTTCTTGAACAGTTAGTGGCCACGTGTAGGGCAGTTACAAAGGTAGTTTTGACCATCTGATAACTGTCTCGTGTGCGAGACAGTAAATTCTGTCTCGCAAGGCGAGACAGTAAATACTGTCTCGCGGGGGGTTTGTGGACCTCTCGTTCATGGAACGAATCGAGAGGGGATTTTGGCTTTGGTCCTAACTGTTTAAAGGTTTGACCAAGATGGGAATTTGAGACGATCCTAACTGTTTAAAGGTTTGATCGTTCAATTTGTGGACCTCTCGTTCATGGAACGAATCGAGAGGGGATTTTGGCTTTGGTCCTAACTGTTTAAAGGTTTGACCAAGATGGGAATTTGAGACGATCCTAACTGTTTAAAGGTTTGATCGTTCAATTTGTGGACCTCTCGTTCATGGAACGAATCGAGAGGGGATTTTGGCTTTGGTCCTAACTGTTTAAAGGTTTGACCAAGATGGGAATTTGAGACGATCCTAACTGTTTAAAGGTTTGATCGTTCAATTTGTGGACCTCTCGTTCATGGAACGAATCGAGAGGGGATTTTGGCTTTGGTCCTAACTGTTTAAAGGTTTGACCAAGATGGGAATTTGAGACGATCCTAACTGTTTAAAGGTTTGATCGTTCAATTTGTGGACCTCTCGTTCATGGAACGAATCGAGAGGGGATTTTGGCTTTGGTCCTAACTGTTTAAAGGTTTGACCAAGATGGGAATTTGAGACGATCCTAACTGTTTAAAGGTTTGATCGTTCAATTTGTGGACCTCTCGTTCATGGAACGAATCGAGAGGGGATTTTGGCTTTGGTCCTAACTGTTTAAAGGTTTGACCAAGATGGGAATTTGAGACGATCCTAACTGTTTAAAGGTTTGATCGTTCAATTTGTGGACCTCTCGTTCATGGAACGAATCGAGAGGGGATTTTGGCTTTGGTCCTAACTGTTTAAAGGTTTGACCAAGATGGGAATTTGAGACGATCCTAACTGTTTAAAGGTTTGATCGTTCAATTTGTGGACCTCTCGTTCATGGAACGAATCGAGAGGGGATTTTGGCTTTGGTCCTAACTGTTTAAAGGTTTGACCAAGATGGGAATTTGAGACGATCCTAACTGTTTAAAGGTTTGATCATCCAATTTGTGGACCTCTCGTTCATGGAACGAATCGAGAGGGGATTTTGGCTTTGGTCCTAACTGTTTAAAGGTTTGACCAAGTGGGAATTTGAGACGATCCTAACTGTTTAAAGGTTTGATCGTTCAATTTGTGGACCTCTCGTTCATGGAACGAATCGAGAGGGGATTTTGGCTTTGGTCCTAACTGTTTAAAGGTTTGACCAAGATGGGAATTTGAGACGATCCTAACTGTTTAAAGGTTTGATCGTTCAATTTGTGGACCTCTCGTTCATGGAAACCAAGTGGGAGTTCTGAGATGATCCTAACTGTTTAAAGGTTTGATCATCCAATTTGTGGACCTCTCGTTCATGGAACGAATCGAGAGGGGATTTTGGCTTTGGTCCTAACTGTTTAAAGGTTTGACCAAGTGGGAATTTGAGACGATCCTAACTGTTTAAAGGTTTGATCGTTCAATTTGTGGACCTCTCGTTCATGGAACGAATCGAGAGGGGATTTTGGCTTTGGTCCTAACTGTTTAAAGGTTTGACCAAGATGGGAATTTGAGACGATCCTAACTGTTTAAAGGTTTGATCGTTCAATTTGTGGACCTCTCGTTCATGGAACGAATCGAGAGGAGATTTTGGCTTTGATCCTAACTGTTTAAAGGTTTGACCAAAATGGGAATTTTGTGAGGGAAGATTGATCTAAAGAGGTGATCGAATCTCATCTCAGCAAAAGAGTATTCGGAATTCATAGTAGGAGTTTAGTGTTTATCACTTTGTTCATAATGATCGGGTTATCCCTAAAAAAAAAAATTACATTTAACATTCTTCCGGGAACTTCCCGTTACATGGATTATCCACCCCCAGCTTTCTTTGCAAAACTGAGTGTAACGAGGAGTTCGTTATCCTCAGTCGCATGTTCGGGTTATCCTTAAGAATATAGGATTCTCCAGGAACTTCCCGTTATATAAATCATCCACCCCCAGCTTCCTTTGCGAAACCGGGTTTAACATTGTACTCAGTTGGAGAATCGAGAAGCAGTTTATACTCATATGCTCTTTGGAGTGTGGGGAAACAGTTTATACTCGTGCACCCACTGGAGTTGTATGGTCGTCTTTACTCGACTTCTTTCGTCGTTATGACGCCGGAGTCAATTAGGGCTTGGATCTTGTTTTTGAGTCCAAAGCAAATCTCGGTGGGATGAAGAACCCTTCATAGCACCATCCTGATCTTTAATAGGTGGTAGCTCGATTTTGTCATTAGCGAGGAGGTATTCCAAGATGGCTGGAGCTTCATCATCTTCGAAAGAATATTCCTTTTGAAACTTCGGATCGAGAGTCGCATTCTCAATGATTGCAGATGTCATTGGTTGGCCTCTCTCAGCTTTCTTTCTTTTAAGAAAGTTCTCAGCTCGTTCACCCCGAGATTTTAACTCCTTCCAAGTTGTGGATGGCACAACCCCCAGAGCTTCCAGGACATCGATGGAGAAGTTATTGTGACATGTTTGCAGGATGAACTCCTCTGTAATAGGATCTCTGCACTTTATTGCTTTGCCACGGAAGCGTTTGACAAAATCGTCGACTGACTCTCCGTCTTTTTGCTTCTCATCCAAAAGGGTTCCGATTGACACTTCGGTGTCATCATCGAAGAAATTGCTGAGGAACAAACTTTCCATGTCATCCCAGCAATTGATGCTCCCTGGCTTGAGCCGTCGGTACCAATCGAAGGCGGGCCCACGAAGGGTGCCAACGAATGACCGGACCATTAAAGCCTCGTTTCCAGAGATCATGCCCAAATGAGACTTGAAATAAATCAAGTGCTGAATCGGCGAACTCTTCCCCTCAAACGGTGTGAAGTTAATCAGATTGAACTTTGCCGGATACGGTATTGAATCCCATTCTCTTGGATAGGGACATGGAATACCCGTCCTCTTCACTTCTTGAGCCGTCATCAAAGCGTTGACTTTGTTTTCAAGCTCTTTCATTTTCCCGTCATCGTCTATGTCTTCATTCGAATGACGTTGAGGAGAATGAGTTAGACCACCCCCTGTAAGAGGTGCCATTGAACCACTCCCAATATCGTTATTGGGAGAATGTGTTAAACCACCCCCAGCGTTATTGCTATTGGGAGGTGTATCAGCCATAATGACTTCATCCACCTCTGGATCACTGTCATCTACAACATTCCGAGTGTGGTGGCTGGATTCAAATCGCTGATTGGACTCAGGAGGTTGAGGCTGTTGAGTTAACAGTTCTCTCATTTGTTGGATAGCCAACTTCATTTCTGTCTTCACTTCAGCTCTAATTTCTTCACGTTGTTTGGCTAGAGCTTCCTGAAGTATTTGAGTGAACTGATCAGCAGTGATTGTGAATACTTCTCTGATTTGTCCTGTGCTAGACATTGTATCATCAGAAGCGATTGCAGAATAAGTGTCCGAGAATTCATCCTCCGAGGACATTCCTTCTTGCATTCTCTTGTAGTCTCTGCGTCTGATAGCTCCTAATTGGAGTCGAGACATCCTTTGAGCAATTCTTGGATTGACTTTTCCTTTCGGGGAAAAGTCGGGATTTGAGTCACTTGAATGCTGTTTAGACTTTCTTCTATCAGCCACGTTGATGGTGACTTCAGGGAATTCATCATTTTGGGCAGCTGATTTTCTTTTGGGGAAATGTCTCGGCTTAGGCTTCGATAACACAGAAACTTTTCGTGGAGTGACTTCTCGTTTGAAACAGTCACATTCTGATAATGTTGTTTTAACGAGTCGTGCACAGGAACAACGAGAGTTCACAACCCCAACTTGATAATACGATTCCTCGGTATGATTGCCAAAAAATCGTATCGTCTGTTGGTATGATCTCCCAGGTATGACGATATCATTTGGTGAATGCGTCTTCTTCTGGGGGTATAAAACCTTGTTGGCATTCTCAGGACAATTTATTTTTGTCTTTGAGCGATCCAAGGTTATGCTGGGAGTCGCACATCTAAAACCACGCATTTGCGGGTATGGGGTCTTAACGGGCTCCGA